TTATGCACAAATTGGACGGCTTCATGTCTTGTCCCGCCCCATAGAATTAGGACATCATCGATAAACCTAAAGTAGCGGATAATTTGATGTGCATATGTCTGAAGGATATTTTTGGTTTCATATTCATACATAAAGGTGTTGGCATACATTGGAGCCATCGCAGCTCCCATTGATGTGCCTGCTATCTGTAAAAACCAATCCTTTTCAAAGCGAAAGTAATTGTTTTGAAGTGTGATGCTCAAAAGTTCTAACACAAATTCAATGGCGGGTCCTTTATAGTGTTGTGAGTGGGAAAGCAGATGGCGCATAGCTTGGATGCCTTCAACGTGAGGAATGATAGTGTAAAGGCTACCCACATCTAAAGTCATCAAAATGCCCTTAAAAGTGCCAACTTCTTTCAATCTTTGGAGGAGATCAGGAGTATCTTTAATGCAAGTTTCTAAGGAAGTAACTGGAATTTTAAACAGGTGATCTAAATACCTGGCTATAGGTTCCAAAATGCCTTGTGTAGCCGACACGATTGGACGTCCTGGGGGATTTGTCAGATTTTTATGAATTTTCGGCAGGGTATATAAGATAGGTGTCCGTGGTTGTTCCTTCCTCAAATATTGGAAGAGTTCAAGATCTATATGTCCAGCATATAATCCAGATGTTAACACGTCCTCAATATTCCTTGCTACTGCTTTTGTAGGATCATTTTCTAAACGATGATAGGTCTTAATATCACTTAGTTGTTGTCTAATCTCATTGGCATAAGCTTCATATTCCATAATTACTATCCCACCTCCTTTGTCCGCCGGATGTATAACTATCGAGGAGTCAGTGGACAGATTCTTAATGATGTTACTTCAAGAAAAATTATATTGTGAAGTGGAGCGGTCTTTAACTGCAATACACCCCTATCCCACATGCAGTACAGTTAGCAAGTTAAAATATACTTATTGTATTTCTTGCTCAATGATGTCTCAATTGTGATTCAGCATATACAAAAGGAAAAAAATAAAATGATCATAGAACAGATCTGTTATATTAACTTGCACTTCTATGAATAGTGCTAGAGATCACATATACTTGTCAAATCAACTGGATATTAACAAGTTTATTACAATCAAAAAAAAAGATAGCAAAGTTAAAAACAAGATAAATGTTCTATGATCATTTTATTTTTTTCCTTTTGTATATGCTGAATCACAATTGAGACATCATTGAGCAAGAAATACAATAAGTATATTTTAACTTGCTAACTGTACTGCATGTGGGATAGGGGTGTATTGCAGTTAAAGACCGCTCCACTTCACAATATAATTTTTCTTGAATTGACATGTGGTGAAGGGATCACTTTGAAGTGTGGTAGCTGGCAGTATAAAAATTAAAATTAATATATGCACAATTTAAATTAAATCTATATTTTTTTGCCCCTATAGATTGTTTAATCTTAAGCGCTCCAGTATTGAATGTTTGAATGTCTTAATGATGTTACGTTGAGTCTTTGTGAGATTGGAATATTTTGGTCCGTGTTGTTTAAGAACTGTTTCAGATTCCCATTTGGTTGTAGACAAAAAATTTTAATTGAACCATGTGTAGCAGGAGGGTCAAAAGTGCTGGATGGTTTAAATTGATATGAGGTACTAGAGTTAGATGACTCACTGACTGAGGTCATTGAGTTTTTAAAAAATTCCTTCAGTCTGATTGAACGGCCAAATTTGTAGAGGTCTATCTCCCATTGAAATGGATTAGGGAGTGCAGTGGGTATAAAAGAAAGGCCCTTGCTTAACAGTTGCATTTCTGGAACAGTTAAATCACGTTTTGAGAGATTAAATACAGGAATTACCTGCGAACTGGTGGTTTCCCTCTGAGACCAGTGACATTTTCGTTTCTGTCCACGTCTAGTGTTATTCCTTTTATGTGTTTTCCTCTGCTCCTTGTGACAGTGGAAGAAGGTGACATCTTGTCTTGGTCCCTGATTTGATCTAAAAAAAAAACTGATCTATTATTTCCGACCTGGTTAGTTTCACCTTCTGAGGCTGATTCCCCAGATGTAACATCAACAGTTGTTACATTGGGTTTCACAATTCTCTTACGGAATCTCCTTGGTCTTCCTTTGTGTTCACCTGTTAACCATCGATATACTGTGCCTTCCTGGTCATCCAACTGAACCATCTCCATCTTTTGACGTTTGAATTTAATAAGTTGGTTCTTATATTTAAGCACTTCCTCATTCAATTTCAAAATGGTTTCAACTCCCTCCTGAGAGCTCAATTGTAAAGCAAATTCTGATTCAAAATTCTGAATTTTCATTCTGACATCGACCAAATCTTCTAGTCACAAGCATTAAATCCAAAGAGCATTTATTAAGTACTGAGGTCCAGTCACGACATACTTTGGCTTTGGACCTACCTATAGTGGGGATACTCCTCATTCTGAACCCCCGAGGTATTTGTTTGGCCCTATGGTAGTCAGATAAAAACGTACCATGGAGGTCCAAATCTACCTCTTTTTTCTTTAATTTCAAAATTTTAAAGTAAATATCACGAAGGGTTGTGGTAACTGGGAATTCCCGACTAGTGGTATTCCACAGTATTTCCTCAGCTTGAGCATCATCAAGTTGCAATGTATTGGCTTGTGATGTACTTGCGCCAGCTTGTACTAAGAAATCCTCCATCAGAATTAGTAAATGGTTACTATACAATTTAGTTCTGAGAATTATGGGTAGACTAGTAGTCCAAATTATGCGGACAGCAAATGAAGAAAAACTATTATAAAAACAACCTTTTATTGGTATACATTAAAAAGTGGATGTTGCTACCACTTTAAGAAAAAATATATATAGTAAAAACATAAAGTACTGCTAAATATCATAGAAAAGGAAAAAAGCAAGTACTGATATTCAGTCCCAATATGAAGTATTGTCCCTTAATAAATTGGGAAAATTGCACATATATGCTTAGAAATTATGGGTGCATAGGGAGAGTGTCAGCCACACACTCAAAATAGACACAAAGAAAATAATGAACCCCTGCACTCCAAAAAAAAGAAAAAAATCTCTACCTGGTGCTCTGGTAGCTTAAATGTAGACAATAGTAGTAGACCGGCACTCTAGGAATTTGATTGAAAATTTTTTTACTGTTCAAAGAAGAATCAACATTTCAGCTCCTCTAGGAAGCTTTCATCAGGACATACACAATCCCCTTATTCCATCTAAAATCTTCACACACCCCTACACAGGACAAGTGTATAAAATCCGTCAACGGATACACTGTCGTACAGATCACGTAATTTATAAACTTACTTGTCCATGTGGACTAAATTACGTGGGGAAAACAGAGACAGCTCTCTGTGAGAGAATTAGAGGCCACAGATCTAGTATCCGGCTTGCCTATCGTGATGGCAAGTCGGACAAACCTGTGGCCAGACACTTTTTAGAGTTGCAACACCATCTCTCCTCATTGAGATGTATAGCAATAGAACATGTCCCAATGCCAAATCGTGGGGGTGATAGGGCTAAATTGCTATTACAAAGGGAAGCCTACTGGATTCATCAATTGGGAACGTTGTCCCCAAAGGGTCTTAATGAGAAATGTTTTTATAACATTTCTATGAGATAGGTATCTGAGGGAGTTCATGAAGTCTGATTATACAATTTTGCAATGTAGGACAGCTAATTGTTTTGAGTTGTTTCTAATTTAGATTTTATACTCTTATTTTTAATATATAGTTTTTTCATATTTTGGTACATACAGTTCGCAATGATGCAGGGGACGACATGCATATGATGATTTTTTTTTATATACTTATGTAATTGTTGGACAAACTAAATAGTTACTGTATGTTATTCTCATGTCACAACTGTTTATATTGCTTATACATTTTTAATAGAATTTCTCACCATATTAACTACACTAATGAACATGACAGGTTTTACTCTTCTGCAATATAAAAGCACTATTTACTCATTTAGTGTTTATCTTTCTATATTCATTTCTATAGATTTTTAGACATGACAAGTTCACAATGTTTAATTGATTTTTTGATTCTTTTGTCTCACATTTCTAATATGACTCTTTATTCCTGTTTTAGGATCCTTTTTGAAATTTGTAATGTCATATTTTACTGTGCTTTTCACTTAATTATTGTATATATAAATATGCAGTGCTGTTCCCTGTATAGGGACTGCTCACTTCCGAGAGGCCGGGGGGCGTTATGCCGTTAATTTTGGCGAAATTCACGTTTGAAATTTGGCCAAAATGACCTAGATTAAAATTGTCCACTTTGGGACACCGTAGAGACTAGCTACAACCAATGGGACGTTGGCGTCCTTGGTTGCTTAGCACCTACGTATTGTGTCCTATCAGAAAGTCAGCAGCGGTAATGTGACCAACCCGGAAATGAGTCCGGTCGTGACACTCATGGCGGCAAACGGCAACGAGCAGCCCCTTATTGCCAGCTGTATGTAAGTACCTTAATTATTTATTCATTTACTCCTTATATAAGTGTTTCATTCATATTGTGATTGTGTATGTCCTGATGAAAGCTTCCTAGAGGAGCTGAAACGTCGATTCTTCTTTGAACAGTAAAAAAAATTTCGATCAAATTCCTAGAGTGCCGGTCTACTACTATTGTATATATATATATATATATATATATATATATATATATATATATATATATATATATATATATATATATATATATATATATATATACGCACGGGTCAGTCGCTCTGCGGAACAGTTTTCTTTTTTTATATGTCCCAATATTTTGGAGGCTACCCCAATTAAAATATATATATTTTAATTGGGGTAGCCTCCAAAATATTGGGACATATAAAAAAAAAACTGTTCCGCAGAGCGACTGACCCATGCGTGCTGGATCTGAAACTCTATGATCACCTGCTGCTGCTTGCAGAGTCTCATGAGGCGGTGAGCAGGAAGGCAGAAGTTATGCTGAAGAATGCCGAAAGTGCGCACAGACGGCCCGCACTTTCTGCAGCAGCTCTGATATATCTGGGTATACACCGTGGCATCACAAGGGCCACCCAGAACTGGCTCAACTCCCATCAAGCCAAGTTCCCAGAGATCACCCAGCTCGTCATGCTAGAGCACTTTTTCAATGTGCTCCCCAACGAGAAGGCGACGACGCATTCGTATGTCAATCCATATCAACTTTCGATGCCATTGACTTGCGCCTACCATGGTGACCACGGGTAACGGGGAATCAGGGTTCGATTCCGTACAGGAACCCTGACAAACGGCTACCACATGCAAGGAAGGCAGCAGGCGCTCAAGTGACCCACTCCCAACGCGGGAAGCTAGTGACCACATAACAATACAGGACTCTTTAGAGACCCTGTAATTGTAATGAGTCCACTTGAAATCCTTTAACTCTGATCAATTGGAGGGTAGTCTGGTGCAGAGCCACTGACCTGTGAGTGCTGCAGCTGAAACTCCACTATCACCTGTTGCTGCTCAAACAGTCTCTCCAGCATGTGCAAGGTGGAGTTCCACCTTGCGGGCACGTCGCATATGAGGCAGTGAGCGGGAAGGCCAAAGTTACGCAGGGCAGACAGGCGAGCAGCAGCAGGGTGAGAACGCAGAAAGGACGCACAGCCGCTACAGTGAATGTCACATCCTGTTCCAAGTTGCGGATCAGTCTGGTGATGGCTTCTGGTATCCAGTACTCTTTTTACTGAAGCTGCACCAGGGTCCTGGTATGTGGCCGCACAAACGCTGGTGCTCAACACCAGGGGGCGTGAGGTTACCCTGCACCAGACCCTGCTAATCCATTCCACACTGACTCCTAACTTCAACAAAACGCATACTGGGTCCCGGTCGTCCGACCGCCGCCCAGACAGTGTCTGGGTCCTGGTCACCGGACTGCGAAACTGCGAATGGCTCGTTAAATCTGTTATGGTTCTTTTTATCACTTCAACTGTTACTTGGATAACTGTGGGAATTCTAAAGATAATACATGCCGACAAGTGCTAGGGGACGGCGGCTCCGCTTTTGTACCCTGCTGTCTCTTATACTGTGCTGGTGCCTCTGTGCAACCAGCGCCTCTTCCTCCAAACGTCACTCACATGACCTTGATTCCATGTGGGGTCTAGGACCTAATCATCCTACACATCATCTTCCACCAACTCCTCAACCCTGCCCTCCTTGCTGGTATGCACACTGCAGAAAGCCACGATAGTTGGCACCTGTGTTTTTCCAGCATGTAAAGTCTGCAGAGGACATATGGAAATTGTTTTAGAATTGTATCCAGGCAACAGTTTTTTACCTATAAACTGACCTCTCAGTTTAAAAACAAAGAGAACGTTACCTGTGCTCTGGCCTAAATCCCCATGTACATTTAAACAAAATGGAGGCTCTTTAGTTTTATTCCAATGGCCATTTGAATATATAAGCTCACCTGCCATGTCAAGGCAAGCCTCAATAGGTGAGTCCTACACTAGCCATTAGATATGCTGATATCAGCCAAAAATCACCAGTAAGACAGGAAGGGGTATTTTATAAACCCTTTCACATTTAACCCTTTTTAACCCAAAAAATGACTTCTTAAAACTCCAATGTAAGCAGCAGATTAGCAGCAAAACAATTAGCATGTTTACAATTGTTCTGTAACCGCAGTATTTGACGCTTCTATTTGACTCTCACATATGAAGAGCAGGCCCCAAAATGTACTATTTAGCAGATTAGCACCCAGAAAATTCGAATTTTTACAACTGCACTGTAAGCACACTATTAGATGCTTTTATTTAACTCTCTGATATGAAGTGCCCCCACTAAAATACTATTTAGCAGTCTAGCACCCCCAAAAAATTAAAGTTTTAAAACTGAAATGTGACAGCAGTATTTGACACTTCTATTTGACTCTCAGACATGGAGAGCATGCCCAAAATGTACTGGTTAGCAGCAAAACAATTAGAATGTTTACAATTGCTCTGTAACTGCAGTATTTGACGGAGATATGAAGCACACCCAAAATGTACTATTTAGCAGATTATCAGCAAAACAATTAGAATGTTTACAACTGCGCTGTAAGCACACTATTAGATGCTTCCATTTGACTCTCAGATATGAAGTGCACCCCACTAAAATACTGTTTAGCACCCAAAAAAAAATAGTTTTAAAACTGCAATGTTACAGCAGTATTTGACGCTTCTATTTGACTCTCAGATATGAAGTGCACCTCACTAATGTACTATCCCACTAATGTACTATTTAGCACCAAAAAAAATTTACTTTTTAAAACTCAGATGTAACCGCGATATTTGAAGCTTCTATTTGACTCTCAGATATGAAGTGCACCCCACTAATGTACTAGTTTGCAGAATTCTTTCCTAAGCTGTCCCTCACAGCGGCAGCATCCTCTCCCTACAATAATAAGAACTCGTGTGCATGCGGCGCTACGCGACTCCAGCTTATATATAGAGGCTGGGTCACATGCTGCACTGGCCAATCACAGCCATGCCATTAGTGTTTCTAAGGGAACACGAGTCAAACGCTTGGTGTTTGGCAGCCTTTGAAAAAGCGCCATTAAATCGCTGAACACCGAACTCCAACCCGAACATACAGTGATATGTCCGTGTTTGGATCCGGGGTCCAAAAAAACTTAATGTTCGGTACGAACCCGAACTTTACAGTTCCTCATGCAAAGGTATTCTGAAAAAGGCTGAACTTAAATCAATAGTAGAAATGTGTGGCCTCAATGGGTATTGACGATAGAATGGTAGTGGGATTGGGCGCTACTGGAAAGAAGGATTCTACGACAGCGTTTAATGCCCGCATATCTCGTACAAATCTGTACTTGATCATGCAAGTTTTTTTTTTTATTACTGGCTCTCTTCCTTTTATTGCTTCATAGCTGAAATGATACTGGGCAATTTACAATGTTCCCTCAGTTCTACTACAATAGGTTTTGCAGATGCAATAAGACCCACATCTTCACCCTCTGTTGCCCACAATTCTGGAATTCCAACTAAATCTTCATTCTCCCCACGTAAATCTATTTCTTCTTCCTCCAGCACCACATACAATTTTACTTTTTGTTCTGGAACTTCAAGGTAAACTGCATCTGGACTGCAGTATATTAAACAGCCCAGTTTACAAAGAAAATCTTCCCCTAAAAGATTAACTGGACAGGTGGGGCTTAGAAGAAAAGAATGATCCAACTCAAGGGACCCACAGTTACCTTAGTAGAAGTGGACATGTTGTGGGGGATTATTTTGTTACCCACCCCTTTCACATTAACTTCTTTGCCTTGACTGTCAAATTTATATTGTTCTCCCATACCTATGGTAGATCTGGAAGCCCCTTTATCAATCAAAGGGCACCATAGGTTCTGGGCCTTGGGTCACAGGTACACTAAACAATATATTCAGACCCGAATCTTCCTCTACATCTAGTCACTTAGGTTGATATCTCTCTCTTTCTCTCTTACTCTTCTAATTGTTTTCTTTCTCCCTTTACCCCCTATGCAATCTCTTGCTATTTGACAATATCGTTCACAATTGAAACATATTCAAAATTATTTTTTACATTATTCTGTGGGGGTCTTCTGGCTGGATTTTGTCTTGGCTGCTGTGCATAATATCTAACAGGCATTTGTTCAGCCTGAAGTGTTAAGTGCAGCATCATTAATCTGGCAGCCTTGAAAAGCCTGCCAGATTCCTGATGCTGCACTTAACACTTCAGTGAGTGGTTATCACGCCATCCCAATAAGGATAACATAAAGTTGTTTTTTGTTTTTTTACACTTTAGCATCCAAACCATTTAATTAACGGTCTCCATTAACTGGTTTTAAGATCTTGTGTTGTGGGGAAATGGCTGGCACATTATTTTAAATGTTTTTAAAATCCATTTGGATATTTAGAGGAGGCAGGAAATGATACTTGTAAAGACACTGTCTTGTGGGCTCCACGGTCTTCCCTCATTATCCATCTGTCCCACTTCTCTAATAGGTAAAATCATTGCTTCACTCCCATCACTCAGGCAACACATTGCAACATCCTGGTAAACCTGTAGTTACCACAGCATGATCAGCAAATCTCTTGGGCATTTCAACATCCCTCTCAGGTCTACCACCTCAATCACTGGCGTACATACCATGGTCGCAGTTGCAACCAGGCCTGTCACTCCAGGGGGCCCGGCTGCCCTGCGGACCCCTGCAACCGGGTACCCACCGCCATTTTTGCGGCCCCAGCCCATGCGGCAAACTGCCGGGGCCGCCGTTCAAGGGGTCCATCTGGTTGCCCCCAGTTCAAGGGGTCCATCCAGTGGCCCGTGCTGTTAGGCCCATGGAGATGGATTTTCAGGGGGCCCGGTCAGCACTGGGATAACATCAGACATAGCTGGTAGGAAATGACTGCCTGGTCATTCCTCCCAGCTATCAGAGCAGCGCAGGAGGATGGACGAGTGAGTCAGAGTGGGAACTCTGACTCCCTTGGCTCCAGTGGGAGCTCAGCCTGATGGGAAAGTCACCCTCCTGAAAAAAGTAGGAAACGGAAGGGTGACTTAAAGTGTCTGTCTGTGTGTCTCATACAGACAGGCACGCACGCACGCATACAGTCTGTGTGTGGATGCGCGTCTGGGGGAGGGCCCTCGGATCAGTGTCGCACCTGGACCCCATGGATTGTGTGTGTTCCACTGACCTCGATGCAACATGACTGAGGCACCAGCTAAATTTTGGGGTACAAGCTACGGTGGAATAATCATCTGCTGAGGGGGGTGACCCAAAGAGGGATTCATAATTTCATGATTAATCAAAAAAATCCTCATTCTAAGGTGGAGGATTTTTAATATGTCTTTTTAAAGTGTCCAGTGAGGGAAACAAAAAGGCAAAACCATTACCCTCTCCATAAAATGTCTTTCCTATTGCACCTGATTAGGGGGAACATCCTTGTTTTTTCTTTTTAACTTCCTAATGCCACAACATATATGCAGACCACTCCAGTTTTGAAAGGCTTTTTACATTTTTCCATTTAACAACATTGTTCTTAAACTTAACACCCAAGGGTATAATGACTCCACCACTGGCCATAGATTTATATTTTTAGTTAATTTTGCCCATTTCTTTGAATACATAATACTTGAAAGGCCATATTTGTTTCATTAAATAAACTGGGGAATCACTAGGTATACTGTCCCTATGTTCAAGCTGCTTGCCATGATTCAACCTCATTTCTTTTATTTGTACTTTTACATACCACTGTATCACCTTTTGAGAGATGGAAAGGTCACAATTTTCAGTTTTTAAACTGACTGACAACCGGAC